ATTTTTTTTTTTTTTTTTTTTTTAGTTACTTCCTGGTGATTCCTTGGAGTTATTATTATACCAAGCTCGTTATTTATTAAATAAAAATAAAATAAAAATATTTTTTCCTTCTTTTTATGATTTATCCATCATTAATTGTCTAATTAATGATCCATTAAATGTTCATCTTTCTCATTTCTCTCTCTTTTACTTCGAGCTAGGAGAAGAATTATGCAAACTGTAACTCCTCCTCCTCCTCCTGCTGCTGCTGCTGCTGCTTATTGTGCTGCTGCTGCTGCTGCTGCTGCTGATTACTGTGCTACTGCTGCTGATTGTGCTGCTGCTGTCGTTCATGTCATTTCTGCTACCACGCATACCCCTCCTCCTCCATCATCTACTACTACAACTACTACTACTACTGCTGCTGCTGCTGCTGCTGCTGCTGCTGCTGTTGCTGCTGCTGGTGCTGCAGTTTACCAGAACATGAATGGCCTCATCCTAATTTACGTTCAATATTACGTTATGCACGATTAAGAAGAAGAGTTGCAATTATAACAGGAGAAACAAATAAAAATAAACATCTTATTAAGTTACTTACCTTCGAAGAAAGATCTAGTATCCTCTTCCTCCTCCTGCTGTTGCTGCTCCTGCTCCTGTTGCTGCTGCTGCTGCTGCTGCTGTTGATGGTGTTGTTGCTGCTGCTGCTGATTGTGTTGCTGTTGTTGGTGGTGGTGGTGATGGTGCTGCTGTTTATGCTATTGCTGCTATTGCTTATGTTGTTGATGTTGCTGCTGCTTCTGCTGCTGTTGCTGCTGTTGCTGCTGTTGCTGCTGCTGCTGCTGCTGCTGCTGCTGCTGCTGCTGTCTTAAGGTGTGAGTCTGTTTTGTGTTGTATGTTTGTCTGCAGCGCTTAATGCAATAGAAAACAGCAAACCCTTCATGGGGCCCTTCGCTTGATAAACCCTAAACCCTAAACCCTAATATCGTTTTTCCTTCATCAAGAGGAGACACCTCCTGCTCCCTATCCTATGGCAGAAGCAGCAGCAGCTAGCTAGCTAGCCAACTAGCCAGTTTGCTCGCAGGCTAGCTAGCTAGCTAGATGCGGTGCGACCTGCCCGTGCTGACGCCGCGTCTTCACTCTTTTTCCTTCTTACTGCTTATGGCTAGCTAGGTGGCTAGCTAGCTAGCTACCAAAGTGGCTAGCTAGCTAGGTACCCAGCTAGCTAGCTAGCTATCTAAGTAGGTAGCTAGCTAGCTAGCTGACTCTGTATAACCTGCACAGGTGCAACTATTTGACGTTAGTGGGTGTGTAGAAGCCAAAGCCGCCTATCCCCCGTCATTGAGGGTTTAGGGTTTAGGGTTTAGCTTTCCCGGCCTGGGGGCTTTTTTGTATGCTACAGTTACATGAGAGAGTGTAGGGTTTAGGGTTTACGGTTTGTAAGGGTTAGGGGTTTGTAAGGAAAGGGAGACAAGGGGAAAAAAAGGAGACAAAGGAAGAGAGACAAGGAGAAAAAAAGGAGACAAAATAAACAAGAAAACACTTAAAACACTATTTTGTTGATTAAAGGGAGAAGTGTCCCCTTTAATATAATCTATTGTGAGGAGCAGCACGAGTCAGATAACAGTCTTGCTGCTGCTGCTGCTGCTGCTGCTGCTGCTGCTGCTGCTGTTGTTGCTGCAGCAGCTACTGTTGTTCTTGCAGAGCAACTGAGAAGCAATCAGCTGCACTACAACGGCCAGCTACACACCCCTGCTGCTGTTGCTGCTGTCCCTGCTGCTGTTGCTGCAGCCCCTGCTGCTGTTGCTGCTGCTGCTGTTGCTGCTGCTGCTGCTTGCAGCCGCATCCATAAATCCGCAGCACCATCACCAGGGTAGTAGTAGCAAACTACCCTAATCCTCACCTTCAGCACGAGCATGCGCCACGCTAGGAGCAACCAGTACAACATGTGCATCAACAGCAACAGCAACACCAACAACAACTGCTACTACTACTACTACTACTACTACTACTGCTGCAGCAGCAGCAGCAGCAGCAGCAGCAGCAGCAGCAAATTAGAGTTGTACAACTGTAGCCTGTGGCCATCTCGTTCTTAGAAGTTTTTGAATTTGTTCGATTGTGAAATTCGAAGATGAAAATTCCAAAAATTTCGTTCGTAATAAAAATATACACACGCCAGGACCTGCAAACAAATAAATATATATATATATAATTTACTCCCCTGCTGCTCCTGCTGGTCCTGCTGCTGTTGCTGCTGTTGCTGCTGTTGCTCTTGCTCTTTATGGTGGTGGTGGTGGTCGTGGTGGTGGTGATGGTCATGGTGATCCTCCTAATGATGCTGTTTATGCTGCTGCTGATGGTGATCGGGGTGGGAAGGGTGTTACTGCTAGTGACTGGATTGCTGCTACTACGACTGCTACTGCTGCTGCTGCTGCTGCTGTTGTTGTTGGTGGTGGTGGTGGTGCTGCTGCTGCTTACCCGGAGGCACTTGACCATCGTAGAGGAAGAGATGAAATGTTTCAGGTGGCTCCACATGAGGTCCAGCTGAGACACAGACGAGGGATTAGGGTTTCGAGGGTTTAGGGTTTGAAGGGTTTAGGGGTTCGAGGGTTTAGGGTTTGAAGGGTTTAGGCTTTGTAGGGTTTAGGGTTTGGAGGGTTTAGGGTTTGGAGTCAAAAAAAAAAGAGGGAAAGAAAAGGTGACACAGAAAGAGACAGAGAAGAGATAGAGAGACGGAAAGAACAGAAGAAAGAAAAGGAGACAAAAAAAGGAGACAAAAAAAGGAGACAAAAAAGGGAGAGAGCTAACCTTTTTTTGTTTGTTGTTTTAATTTATAAGAAAGAAACCATTGATGCCAATCAGCAAAGAGAACAACACCATCTTGGCTCTCTACTTCGTGCATGCAAGAAGAAGGGATACCTACAAAAAGGAGACAATAAATAATTTGTTTCTTTTAATTAATAAAAAAGAAGAGACAGTATATGAGTTATATCTTTTAATTAATTAAAAAAGGAAAGAAAAAGAAAAAAAAAAGACAAAAAGAAATTAAAAAGAAGAAAAAGGAAGAAAAAGGGGACAAAAAGAAGTAAAAAAGGGACAAAAGGGAATAAGAGACAAAAAAGCAGCAGCAGAGACAGACAGCTAAATGCAACAACAGAAACCCTAAACCCTAAACCCTAAACCAGGCAGAGCAACGAGGTTTAGGGTTTAGGGTTTAGCCACAAGACTTACCCAGAGCAGCAAACACTCGAGGGAGATCGCTTTGCTGCAGCAGCAAAGAATTCCCTGGATCTGCTACTTGAAATCCCCACCGTGACTCCTGCAGCAGCAGCAGCAGCAGCAGCAGCAGCAGCAAGACCAGCAGCAGATGAGAACGTCTGGGGGCAACAGCAACAGGAAGAGCAGCAGCATGAACAGCAGTACCCTCAGCAGCAACAACAGCAGCAGCAGCAACAACAGCAGAAACAAACAACAAAAACAACAGCCAAAACAAACAAACAACAGCATCAGCAGCAGCAGCAACAGCAGCAGCAGCAGCAGGAGTAGTAGCTAACAGCTTCTATAAGTTCTTGTGCAGGCATCTCTGCTGCAGCAGGATCCGTAGCAAAGAGAGTTGTATAATGATTGCCACTCCCTATTACCCATAAAGGGAATAAAGGAGCCTTAAAACGGCTCCCTACCTCACAATATCTGCAGCAGCAGCAACAGCAGCAGCAGCAGCAGTAGCAGCAGCAGCAGTAGCAGTAGCAGGAATTGCAGCAGCAAGAGTAGCAAGTGTTTTGGTGTAAAAACGTTGAAACAACAACCATCTGTGGCTGTCACACCAGTGTTTAGGGTTTAGGGTTTAGAGTTCAGGGTTTAGGGCTTAGACTTTAGACTTTAGGGTTTACATTTTAGGGTTTAGGGTTTAGGGTTTAGGGTTTACCTAAGGACCTCCATTTCTGATAGAAACCCTACAACAGGTCTCTTATAAACCCCACCAAGAGATGCTTCTCCTATCATTGCTGCACCATCGCATACGTTGCTGCTTGCTGCTCCCTGCAGCAGCAGATTTAGTGCTTCTTGCATGCAGTGTCCATACACCCCAACTAACGCACGAGAGGGAGGGTCCATGTCTGCACGAACCTGCAGCAGAAGCAGCAACAACAACAGCAGCAAGGTTGAAGCAAGAGGAGTAGCAGCAACTGTAATACAGCAACAGCAGCAACACCAGCAGCAGCAGCAACAGCAGCAGCAGCAGCAGCAGGTTACCCTTTGTGGTCCTCTAGTAAGAACAACAGAAGCAAGGAGACTAAGAGCAGCACCAGGGGAATAAAGCAAAACATTAAAATGTAAGAAATAAAAGCGCATAACTTCCTTGATGCCTATTATCTCCCGTACATACACCTGAAGAGAATCAACATCTGCTGCTGGTGCTGCTGCTGATGCTGCTGATCCTTTTGGTAGGTTATAGTGCTGCTGCTGCTGCTGCTGCTGCGGTGATGGCAGCAATGCAGCTACTTTATACACGGAGCTGTCTGTACACTGATACAACACTGCAGCAACTGCTTCTGCTAATGCATGCTGCCGCTGCAGCAAACAAGGATGCAATCTTAACGGCTGCTGCTGCTGCTGCTGCTGCTGATGCTGCAGCCGTTTTGCTGCACGGAAGCGGGAGAAGAGCAACGACCGCAGCACGAAACATTGAAGAGCAGCTAACACCCCACAGGGGCCCCCATGTACTTGAACGAGGCCCCAGTCTTCGCAGCTTGCTGCTGCTGTTGCTGCTGCTCCTGCTGCCGCACCACCAGCAGCACCATCAACACCACCAGGCACACCTCGCATAGCCTCCGGACAATCCGCAGCAAATGCAATTGGATGCGCCAACCTGCAGCACAAACAGCAGCAGCAGCAGCAGCAGCAGCAGTAATGAGAGAATCAGCAACTGCAACAACTACTTCAGCAGTAACTTCAGCAGTAACTGCAGCAGCAACTGCAGCAGCAACTGCAGCAGCACACAACCTACCATCGCGCTAAGTCCTCCTTATCTATTTCTCTATCATTGCCTTCCCCAAAGAGCAGCAGGAGAAGCTCCCGCCGCTGCTGCTGCTGCAGCGGCAGCGTCGATGCCTCGAAGCTAGCTCGTTGTTCCTCCTCTGTCAATACATCTGCTGCTGGTGCTGCTGCTGCTGCATCACCAACTGTTGACGTCACACACGAGCAGCACTTAAACCGCTCCTGCTGCTGCTGTGGCGCACCTGTTGCTGCTGACCCATCAGCGGATACAGAGTTCCTCCTCCTGCTGCTGCTGCTGCTGAAGGGTCTGCAACAGCAGCAGCAGCCTCGCCTTTCTTCCTCGTCTATCCACTCTTGGGGTACCCGGAAACGGTCCTCAGGCAGCTTGTTGCTGCTGCTGTTGTTGCTGCTGCGGCTAAGAGGGAACGTGCTGCTGCTGCTGCTGCGGGGAGGCGGGGGCTGTAACAAATCTGTCAGGTCGTCATCTTCTGGCAAAAGTGCCATAAACTCCGCAGCAGACAGCTGCCGAGGTGCAGGAGGAGGAGCAGCAGCAGCAGGAGCAGCAGCAGCAGGGAGCGAATCTGATGGGGCAGTTGCTGCACAAACAAACAAAACAAGGATACAGAGGCAGCACAAACCACCATGGAGTCGTCACCGATATTCTGACTGCTTTTGCTGCTGCTTCTACTGCTGCTGTTTCAATTATTGCTGCTGCTGCTGCTGCTGCAGCATGTGAGCGCTCAAGTCGAGCAGCGCAGCAGCTCACATTCCCTAAGAGAGGCCTCAAGAGCCCGCTGAAGTTCTACATCGTCCACATCGAAATCATTTTGCTGCTGTTCGCGCTGCTGCTGTTGCTGCTGCTGCTGCTGCAGTGCCTGTTGGTGCTCCTGCTGCTGCTGCAGCTGCTGCCTATCCATCTCTCCGGCAGCTTCTACAAGACGCAGGACTTCAGGGCTTGTGGCGCGGGGCCTCACGAACTCCTTGGGCGGCATTTCTACGACACTGTGGCTGCTGCTTCTGCTTCTGCTTCTGCTGCAGCTCCTGCTGCAACTGCCGCTCGTGCTGCAACTGCCGCTCCCGTTGCAGCTGCTGATGTTGCTGCTGCCGCCACGCAGATGACCAGCTACCCTGCTAAATGGCTGCCGCTGCTGCCTCAGCAATACCACTCTGTTCTCATAAGACAGCAGCAGCGGCGAAAACTTCAAGAGCAGCAGCTGCAGCAGCAGCTGCTGCTGCTGCAGCAGCAGCTGTAAAGGGCTGATAGACGCAGGTGTACTGACACTTCAAAGCCGACAGACAGTTGTTTGTCACTTCAATGCTTGCATGCGGTAATGCTGCTGCAGCGCTTTTTATATAGTGTACACGCTGCTGCTGCTGCTGCCGCTGCTGTGGCGGCGGCGGCGGCGGCGGCGACTGTCCTGCTGCAGCAGGTGTTGGACTTGTTAGGTGGCACAAAGAGGAGGCTGCCTAGAAGGAAATATAAATTGGACTTTAAGATGAAAAGAGAGGTGTTAAGGATATTTAGAGGCGTTTCCTGCTGCAGCTGCTGCTACTGCTAGCGCCGCCGCTGCGACTGTTGCTGCTGCTGCTGCTGGCAGTCGCGTGGCTGTGATCGCATGCACTGGGGTATTGTTGCCTCTGGCAGTTGAAACGAAGAAGTTTAAAGTATAAAAAAGAAGTAAAAAGTTTATGTTGCTGCTGTTGCTGCAGCGAGGCATTGGGCTATACGTCCTGCGCGCGGTTTGTTGCGTGTAGTGCGCGAGGCGGTGTTTGCATTGTTTTTTGGGGTATTTTTAATTGTTTTTGTTTTTAAATACAATTAAATTTAAAAAGGGAATTAAAAACATCATAATGGCTTCCCGAAGACCCAGCCTAAACGTCCCGCAGCACAGCGGCTCTTCTGCTGCTAAACCCTCACAGCTCAGTAGTAGAAGACAAACAGATACGAAGCAGCAGACGCAGCAGCAAACAGCAACAAGAAAACTTTCCATATCAAGAGAAACCCCAGCGTTTAGGACTTCAAGGGCTACAGAAAGCCTCGGTGAAGTCTCAATACTACACACAAACCCCAAACCCTAATCCTTAATCCGTTGCACACCACAAACAAACCCTAAACAACTGCAGCAAAGGGCCGTGCGGGGACGACCAGTGCCGCGAGAGGAAGGGATCAGCAGCGCAACATCTAGGGTTTAGGGTTTAGGGTTTACGCTAGAGGTTTTAAGCACGTACAGACGTGGCCCTGCGCGGAGCGACACCTGCAACCACTGCGCCGAGGGTCTAGGGTTTAGATGGAAGCAGACAGTCCAAACAAGCAAAATAAGCCGTTTGTGCCTTGAAACACAGTAGTGCAGCCATAGAATGTAGGATTTAGGGCTTAGGCTAGTAGGGTCAACGGGTAGGGATCGTAGGTCTTAGGGTTGAGGATTGTAGAGTTTACGGTTTTGAGAAATGTAGTGCAACGAAAAAGCCTAGTGCAGGAGTTTAGGGTTTAGGCATGGTTGTTACACACCGCGCAGCCTTAACTTCAATACAGTGGTGGGATCGCTGCAGCAGCAGCTTCTGCTGCTGCCGCCGCTTCAGTTGGCCATTTCCTCATGCTTGCACTGGCTTGGAATTCCAGTTGGCCACTTGGTAGGAGTGTTGCTGCTGCCTCCACAGCCCTTGCTGTTTTTGCTGCCGTTGCTGCTGCCGCCGCTGCTGCTGCTGCAGGTCCTGGGGGTTACCAAGTATTGTTGAACGGGAAGAATGTAACACCGCGGCGGCTGTACAGTGCAGCAGCGGATTTCAACGAAGACTCAGCTGATACACTTGAGGCAGGCAGGTGCAGCTTGCATGCATGCAAGCAGAGGGAAGGCCCCGTTTGCTGCTGTTATGCTGCTGCTTCTCTGCATCATTTATGCGCTAACTGGCCTAACGCTACTGGGGTATACATGCACCTACATACACTCCAGCAGCGGATTCGGGGTGTACTGTACACTGGGTGTTTTTGCGCATCTGTCACACCTGCCTCTTTGAGCTGCATGAACAGCAGCAGCTGTGCTGCTAGCATATACAGCAGAGCAACAGAATTCCTCTCCCCTTTTAATTAGAGGGATATATAAAGGGGAATTCGCTGCCTATGCACCTGAAATGGCAAAGAAAGTTGCTGTTGCTGCATGCTTGTTGCAGAGCTGCCGCTACCAGGAGAGCAGCAGCAAGAAAACGGTATGGGGCGTCCAACACCAGCAGAGAATGAACCAAAAGGTTCGTTGCATGCATGCATGCATGCATGCATGCATGTAGATAAACCCTAAACCCTAAACCCTAAACCCTAAACCCTAAATTGATAAAGTCAGCAACAGCAGGTAGGTTA